CATCAGCTGCTCTCTTCCTAATTAGGTTTAATAATGTAACTGATGGTTTAAAGCTGTGGATAAGCTAGCTAATAGGCACATGCGAGAAAATAACGTTACAAAAACGATGAGACGTTTGGATTTTTCAGGAAGTATGTGAATGGGTGGGGAATGGTTCAGTTGTTTATTCTGACGATTTCCGTCATTTCGCCTTTGGCTAGATGTATATGTTGTGGTTAATCTCCAAAGTTTGGGAACGTAAGGTAAAAATAAAAAAAGCGGAATATATTGCGTGGACACGTCGAATACCTGCGGTTTGAACGTGTTATTATTTTTATCGCGGTATCTAATTTTCTACTTTGTGAGTATTTACAAGAATTTTTATGCTCCGTACCGTTTTAACTCTTCGAGTAGTTTGATAATCTGTACCCGCTGTGGAACTGTCAATTAAAACAAGGCTGTTTGCTGCTTTGCATTATTATCAGTTTAACTTCGATTGTTTATGTTTATACATCGAAAGAATGTCACGTAGAAATTTGTTTAATCTGAATGAGTTGTTTCTTCAAAAGTGAGGACTAAAATTATTATTACATAATGAAGCCACATGAATATGAATATTATTCTTATTTGATCATGATTAAATAAAAAAATAAATATCACTTCTCTGAAAAATTATCATTTTTTTGCGATTTTTGTTTTCTGATAACCTCTACAAAGTAACAACGAGTGGCGTAAATAACGTTCCGTAGTTTATTTGACTTGAATTTTGTCTTCAATTTTTTTTTCTTTCCTTCATTTTTTCGAGTTTAGAAGTTTAAATTTAATTTTTCAATTTTTCAATGCAATTTCTAGATTTTGCAATTTTTCGATTTGAGTTTTTCGAGTTTTCAATTTTTAATTTCTCCATTTGCAATTTTTCGTTTCAGTTTTTTATTTTCTTTATTTCTACAATGTTTCTATTTTTCAATATTAGATTTTATAATTTTTTTGTTTTTTCAATTTTTTTTTCTCTAATTTTACGATATCTCTTGTGTTTTCATTTTTAAATTTTCCAGTTTTCCGATTTTCCAACTCTTGGAGGTTTCAGTTTTTAGATTTTGCAATTTTTCGATTTGAAAACCCACGAGTTTTGAATTTTTAGATTTTTCAGTTTTTCGAGAAAAACGAGAAAGTACAAGTTATTCTACTGACTCACATTAGGAGTACAGTCCAAATCATTGAATAATAGATTGACTTTATGTTTTTTATTATAATATCTCTTGTTCTTTGTGATAAAAAATTGTTGAAAGAAAACTATGTACATACATAAAGAAAAAAAAACAAAGATTAAGCCCCACCCATCCGCTCCGATATCAGTTGTCATGAGTTTTTCATTCCTAATCAAACGAGGGGCGGAGTTTAATTGTAACATATTATTTCTCTAGAAAATTCTACTCTTTTAAAAACATATTTCATATGGTAATTTCTTGTACAGAAACGAGAATTTTGCAACTAAACTCCGCCCTTCAGCTCACGATGAATAAAATATTCATCACAATTGACGCAGGGTGGGTGGGCGGGGCTTATAATTTGTCCATTTTTTCTTAATATACGAAGTCTCCTTTTCCTAGCAAGAAACTGACAATATATTTAACTATCCTGATGTTGAAAGAAAACTCGATATATTAAAAGAGAACACAAACAAAAATTAAGCCCCACCCACCCGCCCCAATCTCAATTATGATGAGTTTTTCATTCGTAATTCGATCAAAGGGCGGAGTTTAATCGTAACATCAATATTTCTCTAAAAAATTCTACCGTTTTAGAAACATATTTCATATGGTGATTTCTTTTGGAGGAATGAGGATTTTGCAACTAAACTCCGCCCTTCAGCTCACGATGAATAAAATATTCATCACAATTGAGACCGGGTGGGTGGGCGGGGCTTATATTTTGTCTATTTTTTCTTAATATACCAAGCCTTCTTTTACCCACAAAAAATGACAATATATTTAACTATCCTGTTGTTGAAAGAAGTCTATATATTAAAAAAAAATAAGCCCCACCCAACGCGCAGATCTCAATTGTGATGACTTTTTCCGAAGAGCGGAGTTTAATCGTAATATCTATATTTCTCTAAAAAATTCTACCCTTTTAAAAACATATTTCAGATGGTAATTTCTTGTGGAGGAATGACGATTTTGCAACTAAACTCCGCCATTCAGTTCACAATTAATAAAGCATTCATCACAATTTAGAATGGGTGGGTGGGCGGGGCTTATATCTGGTCTATTTTTTCTTAATATGCCAAGTCTTCTTTTCCCCACAAAAATGACAATATATTTAACTATCTTGTTGTTGAAAGAACTTTATATATTAAAAAAAAATAATAATAAGCCCCACCCACCCGCCCAGATCTCAATTGTGATGACTTTTTCCGAAGAGCGAAGTTTAATCGTAACATCAACATTTCTCTAAAAAATTCTACCCTTTTAAAAACATATTTCAGATGGTAATTTCTTGTGGAGGAATGAGGATTTTGCAACTAAACTCCGCCCTTCAGCTCACGATGAATAAAATATTCATCACAATTGAGACCGTGTGGGTGGGCGGGGCTTATATTTTATCTATTTTTTCTTAATATACCAAACCTTCTTTTACCCACAAAAAATTACAATATATTTAACTATCATGTTGTTGAAAGAAGTCTATATATTAAAAAAAAAAAATAAGCCCCACCCACCCGCCCAGATCTCAATTGTGGTGACTTTTTCCGAAGAGCGGAGTTTAATCGTAACATCTATATTTCTCTAAAAAATTCTACCTTTTTAAAAACATATTTCAGATGGCAATTTCTTGTGGAGGAAAGACGAATTTGCAACTAAACTCCGCCATTCAGTTCACAAATAATAAAGCATTCATCACAATTTAGAATGGGTGGGTGGGCGGGGCTTATATTTGGTCTATTTTTTCTTAATATGCCAAGTCTTCTTTTCCCCACAAAAAATTGACAATATATTTAACTATCCTGTTGTTGAAAGAACTTTATATATTAAAAAAAATAAATAAATAAGCCCCACCCACCCGCCCAGATCTCAATTGTGACGACTTTTTCCGAGAGCGGAGTTTAATCGTAACATCAATATTTCTCTAAAAAATTCTACCCTTTTAAAAACATATTTCATATTGTAATTTCTTGTAGAAAAATGACGATCTTGCAACTAAACTCCGCCCTTCAGCTCACGGTGAATAAAATATGTATTCATCACAATTGAGACCGGGTGGGTGGGCGGGGCTTATATTTTGCCCATTTTTTCTTAATATATGAAGTCTTCTTTTCCCAACAAGAAACTGACCGATGTTTAACTATCCTGTTGTTGAAAGAAAATTTTATATAAAGATTAAACCCCACCCACCCGCCCCGATCTCAGTTGTGATGAATTTTTCATTCGTTGTTAGACCGACGGGCGGAACGCAATTGCAAAATACATATTTCTGAAAATTATAATTCTTATTTTATCGTTAAGGCACTAAAAATATTTCAAACCCCGCTGTGATTATATTATTCAATACTATATTCGTTATACCATTGACTTGTTTCGTCATGAGCTTCATAAAGACAGTTAATGTGTTTAATTGGTCATGATGACGTCGTAAATAAATTATTTGCATAACTAAAGAAGCAATGAACCTTAATGTTTAAAGATTTTGGCGACATCACTTATTGTGAAAGAACTCATCACCTTCACAAATCGGTTCCATAGTATTCTTCTCAAATTGAAGGCCGTATTATCAACCATTGTGGATAGATAACAATTTCGACAAAACTTATAGGAAAACGGAATTAACGCAAGTTAAAGATTATACTTCTGTAATAATGTATGATTAATTTTTAAGTTGATACATACAAGTTGTTTCTGTTCATCTGCAAAATTTCAAATTTTCCTATATATATATGTACTTAGACGCACTAACATTATATTCGCAGTAAGTATGATAATGGCAGTAAGACATGACCTTGCAAATGACATCTACTTGTTCTTTACGCTTCGTCTAGAGAACATTTAATTTTTTTCCCTTTTAAATATATCTATTGTTTAAACTTATTAAAACTAGTTGTGTGAACTACGGAATACCGACAGGAATAAGGTTTATTGCGAGACCCCATGAAGCCATCAATCTGAAAGTTTTGCTTCTAAACTGGTCTGAGCACTATTTGTTACTATATTTTTAGTGAAAAAACGGACCCATCAGACGACACCTGATCAGCATTCACTATCTCAAAACCGGAAATATAATACAACTATTGAAGTATTCCGTATAATTCCGAAATGAAGAAAATGAAAAAATGTATCTGATTACTACTGTCTTTCACTTTCTTCCAAATCACGCAAGTCAAAAATGTAGCTCGCATTTCAAAATCTTGACAACATAAGTTTGATTAAAGTCGAAAAAATCAAAATGTCTTGTAAAAAAGGGGTCACTGTCAGATCGTCGTTGTCAAATATCATTCCTGACTTTTTGTCAAGTGGTTCAAGTACTCTGAACATAGAGTACACAATTACACTTCAGTTTCTATTAACACTTAGTCTTAATTCGTATTTGATTCTACATTGTATCAGTAAAGGGGTTCTTGACGACAGTGGATTATTTTACTGTGACTATTAAGAAATTTATATTGGTCCAGTAACAAAAAACAAGTTTTTCCGACACTAAAAACTGTCACATCGAAAAACACGAATTAAGTTGAATTTATAACCAAAGAAGCGACCGTTGTAAACTCACAAAAACACGAAATGATCTTTTTAACAACCGATTATTTAACAGCGTCCCTGATCCTGAAAGTTTAAGTATTCGAAAACGCTCCAAGTTGCTGTTTTGGTGAGTATCGATCGAGCACGTGTTTGGCAAATTGCATGCAGCAATAATACATTATTTTTAAATCTTACGAAATGTGATTAGGAACGGTTCAAGAATGTTGCTCAGAGTATTATTAATGTCGTGAAGTAGTCAAGACGCCTCGAATAGGGACCTCAACTCACCGGCCACATCCTTAATCTCTTTGGTGGCGTTATTCCCCGCACTGAGAAAATCCGAAAGCGAAAGTGACGAAGCGATCAGCCTCCTCTTCTCTTCGAAATTGAGGTAATCCAGACTATTGCTCCTCTGGGGCGCCACTATGGCGACGTTCTTCGTCTTCGTCGTGTTCCCGTTCTTCTCGTGCATGATTTGCGGCGGCGCCAACACCACTTCACTCACAGACATCACGACACAACAACAACAAACACCAGTGGGTCCGGCACAGCTCACGTACCTGCACAGGTAGAGTCATTATCGACACCTGTACCCTTCTTCCTCGAGCGAAGACAGGTGGTTGCCGGGTGCGGGACGGGACAGTGCCTTCTTGGGTCACGCATGGGCCCTTACTGCGTCTAGAACAACTAGCGGACCCGAAGCAGACGGGGAACCTCTGCCTATTCCACCATCTCCTAGGTCTAACGCGTCTGCAATACGATGAGCGAACGGGATGGTCAGTCGGTTACAGTCAACGGTCTGCGCGTTGTCGACCCGCGAAGTCGGTTCGTACTGAAACGCCGCCAGCATTCATGTTTCCGAACGAGGACGACGCGGTCGCCCCCCAATCTCTCACATGTTCGTGCTTTATCTGATACGCGGAGAGCGAGTGAGACGAAGCGAATCGGGGGAGCCAGACAGCGCGTGTAACTATGGTGACATGCACCGGCTCGACGGCGAGGACCCTTCGATGCGAAGAACATCCCTCAAGAATGAAAGGTTTTCATGCACCTGATGCAACGCACTCTGCGAATTGGGGTGAACGTACAGGTTCGAGGACCGGACAGCATGAATATGCATTGTTTTATTAGTTGGGGTTCAGGAGAATTTACATTAACGCAGTTTGGACGACTGTCTAAAAATTAAACCAGTTAATTCGGAATTAAACATGAGAGCTGTTGTTCTGACATTGCATGCTATTTCGGGATGCTGTTTCTATTGGAAATTCAGGGGCGTTTGTTCATTGTTTTCCGTGTGAGTGTGTTATGTTGATATAACTCATCCTTTCAAATGTGGGGTTTAAAATAGATCTATTACTTGGCACCCGGCTAAAAAAAATACTTGATGGAATTTTTGCACCACTGCAGTCACCAGATGTACATCGGAATGCGTGAATTTAAATAAATCAAAAGTGTACGAAAAGTTTAAACAGAATTTAAATAATGTCACCAAATTTTTGTTGGGAGCGATCACACACGAAACTCTTGAAATATGCCTAAAATTTCAACAATCAGCACCAGGCGCGGATACAGGATTTCGTTTAGGGGGGGGCAATTTTTGTAGTATTTTATCTCCCAGTAATGCGTTCTAAACAAAAAAAATTATAAAATTTTAACTAGTATACTCTTTTTCACATAACATGGGTGACATTTGGTTGTATTCGTTACACGTATAGTGTACAGTAGAACCTCGATAATCCGAATTAATTGGGAAAAAGGTGTGTTCGGATTAACGATTTTCCCAAAAATCGAAAGGAAATTGAATAACAACTTCATATACAGTTGAAAACAAACTTCAAAAAATAAACCTTAATTTTATTAAACAAAATTAAAGAATTCTTTAAGCAACAACATAATAGATACATTCTAAAAAAATATTACTCCGCTATCTTTTTGGAATCAACACGCTGGGATCTATACCCTGAATTTTTTCAGAATTTTTCAAAAATGTAATTTTCCATTATCTATTCTCGACGATTTACGAAATTTAACTAAATATATTTTCTTGTAGATTTTGGATCTCAGAAGTCACTTCTGGCTTCATTTCTTCGATAACTTAAACCTTCTTTCCAGATTCGTCCAGTTGAAATACTTATGGCAATTTTTAAAAATTTCGAAAAATTCGAATTTGACACCAAATTTTCGAAAATATTGCTCGGTTACCATTAACATGCTACAGAGTCATCAAAATTGATTGAGAGAGTTGGTACTCCCTGTTTTTGCCGTGAAGTTTGTCAACCTTGTGACAGATTTGTTTAAGGTTATGTGGCAATGAATTCAGTGGCGTGACAACAAAACTGGGGGTTGATTGTCAAATCAATTCTACGCCCCAAATTCGTCTTGACTACCACTCCGAAAATGCCATCACTAGAAAAGTGTTCTGCTCTACAGACAGAGGCATATTAGGAAACGCAATCGAACAAATTCAAAATTCGAAACTTCAAATCTGACAACTAATATTTTTTACCAAAAAAAATCGAAAAAAGACGCCACTGAGTTTTGAAATTTGAAACTTCAACCTTCAAATCTAGCAGCTAATATTTTTATACAACTTATGTCCGTTTGCACCAACGCATTGCAACTATACTTAAAATTTAAGCAATACTTAAAAACAGAAAACCGTTGCACCAACATGAAACCGCTTCTTAGGGTGTTCTAAAAGGGGCTTATTTTAAGCCGGCAGGTAGTGACGGCTTAAATTCTAAAGTTCTTCTTAACAACAAGAAATGAAAGAGCGCATGCTCGGTCGCTGTTGCCAATCATGTTGCACTTTGCATGTTACGATCATGCGTTGAAGATACCTCAGTTGCTAGTGTTGCCAATAGAAGTCCGCATTCCATTAAACTCACTAACTAAGCATTGCTTTATTAAGTCACGGATAAGCAACGATGGTGCAATAGACAAACAGTTTAAGTCCCACTTAAAATTAAACACTTCTTAGTTAAGCAAAGCTTACGTCAAGCTTCGTGCAAACGGGCATTAATAAACCAAATTATACAAGTTCAGGTTTACCAACTCTCTCAATCAATTTTGATGACTCTGTATATATTTGGAATCAGTACGTCGGCGTCGGGACATACATATCCCTGAATTTTTTCAGAATTTTTAGGAAATTTTTTCAAAAATGAAATGTTCCTCATGCAAATTTCGACCCATTTTCGACGATTTTACCTAAATATCTTTTCTTGTAGATTTCGGGCCTCATTTCTTCGATAACTTCAACCTTTTTTCCAGAATTAGATAATTAATTCAGTGCATTGAAATATAGCAATTTTTTAAAATTTCAAAATACTCCATACAACATATGTAGAAAGATCTTGCGTCATTTGTGCAAGTAGGTGCGTGTTTCTAAGTTCAGAAGAAGCATCGACTTCAAATAGCCTGTGTTTGGATTACTGGATATTCGGATAATCGTGAATTCGGATTATAGAGGTTGTAGCTACTGTATTTACAAAATGAAATGCGATTTCAAAATTTTGAAATTGGTCAAAATAAAGTACCTCGGTCGTGTGTCAGGGGGGGGCAATTGCACCCATTGCCCCCCCCCTGGATCCGCGCCTGATCAGCACAGTAGTTTCGAAAATTATCTAGCCAATAATAATAAACAACGCAACATGGAAAACAAACGACAATCGTTAATAAAAAAGCTTGATATTTTTTCACATCGAACGCGACAGTGAAACCCAAATCTAGCACGTTCCTCGAGAGTAAAAAAATCCGACCATTTTGTCCATTGCACACTTCCCTTTCAACGCACTTTAATTTTCAATTTGCGATAATCCGCATGAGCCCACACGAGTGGAAACCAACGAACGATTCCAACTCGAATTAAAATTTTGGGTATAAATTCTGGATTTGGGCTTTTGTCAACCGGAGTCGGTTCGATATGGTATAAATCTCGTCCGTGGTCAGCAGCGACAGGAACAACAGGCGTTAGACGCAGCACACAGCAACTTTACATTCCTGGCGGTTCGAAAAAAATATGATTGATGCGTCTCCTCGTTCCATAGTAATTAGAATAGCGTATAAGTTTAATTAAAAATTCCTTTAGGAGATCGTCGATCTGCTAGCACGCCATACGTCGATACGAGTAAAACGGAGCTCTGGTTGCGCGATTTAAACACAAACTGGCGTTGTTTGTTCTAGCTCATGAATTGTTTTATTCAAGCAAAGAGATAATAAATAATTCAATGAATAATAAATGATACGATATGGTAAGTATACCACATTCTTAAGCTTTGCATGATTATTAAATTGGAAGAAATGTGTGGTTGTAAAGTCCATGACTATAAATAAACTTTTAATTAAATAGAAGTGTGACGCCAAAATGGGCTGAGGCGAGCATACTGTAACATTTACAGCAACCATTTTTAGTTGTTCCTAATGTTACGAGTTATGACAAAAATTACAAATTTTATGAAGCTTGAGAAAAAATAGCTGAACATTTTTTGGTTTCCTAAGCTAATAGAGGGAAAATATTTTTTTGGACAAGTGACAAAAGGGATTTTGCTTCCATACTCCAAGAGAGATGGAAATTGGAATCACATTGTAGCATATAGTATAGAGAAACTGATTCATTCAAGTAAATATGATTCTAGATTTTGTGTGGTTTTCATATTTCGTAACACAAAAGGTAGGAATGAAGAAAGTTTAACGACAAATTACTCCGTACAATGCACTCTTTACGACTAAGTACGTAATTGTTTATTGTTATTCTTTCAGTTTTAATTAAACTTTTGTCCCGACGGGGCATCCGCATTTTACACAGTGTTGGAGGAATTTCTATCTACTGCTTTCTAACCAGAAATGTTTTTATAACTAAAGATGTTTCCATATTGGCGACTTTTCTTCATTACATCTGAGAACTGCTCAGCGGTTTTGAGCAACCAAAATTATTAATTTTATTTATTTTTTTAAATCCACGAAAATCGATCTGTGCTTACTTAAGTCTGTCAATTTGACATTTAGGGTACGTTCGGATAATCGTCGATAACAAAAAGTAAAGTTGTAAAATAAATAATTAGGAACTTTGGCGCCGTCAAAAAACGTGGGAAATAGTGTTGATTCAAAAAAATTAGACGGTGAACGTGTGAGAAAGACTGACTTTACAGAAACTACTTATTGACTAAATTATATGGAACGCTAAGTCGATAAAAACAACTACTGTGATAAATACATATAACCTGTTCAGGTTGTACGCACTTTTATAAACTTTTATAAACAATTATTTAGTTCGAATTTGACATAATTTTTTAAGCGAATAACTAAAATAGAATTTTCACTTTCTTGTTAGTACAGCAGCTCCCTGTGACGTTACTAAGCAACGTGATTTTGAAAACAGTGATAAAATTATTTCGTAATTATTGTCAATGCCCTACGGTTATCATTTATTAATACTGGAAATTTTACACCATTACAAAGTAACAAAAAAATCAAGCCAGAAAAAATGATGACTTTATGTTGTATTAAAAACGGGGAAAGCAATGTAAAGTAAACATCCATCACATTACATACCACTTTTAACAGTTTTTTTTTTCAGAATAAAAAAGTTTGTACTGCTGATTGACAACGCCTATACTATCCTTTGATTTCATGAAAGCATGTTTAAAAATTGTCATACATGTTTTTGATGAATTACACTGAAAAGCTGATCAAAACTTTTAAGTAGTTACAAGCGTTATGTCGAAAGAAACTTTGTAATTCGTTGGTGTCATCTGCATTATTGTTTAATATTTACACTGGCCTGGAAGGTATTATGACTTGAGTCTTGAAAACATTCGCC